GTTAATAATAATTTTGATATGTTTGTCCCGTGTCTCGCCTTCTCGCCATCATTACTCTTATTAATATTTATCTAGTCTGGCTATCCATGTTACATTGTAAAATCTAGAGGTCTTTAATTAGACCATGCTCTTTTAGTCTGTCAAAATCATTTCGGTTTTTAGCCTGGTTCTTCAGAGGTATATGCAGGGTGAGGCAAGGTTTTATATACCAAATGCGAATAACCATCGGAAATTACCAAATAACAAGTGTAAACTTGCTCCATGATGTGTAAAACAGGCGAATATACAGACTCGAAAGATAAAACGCGACAACTGCCTACTATTAAGCACATAAAAAGGACACAATTGACTGAATAAGATACAGACCGACCATTAAATAAAGTGAGTAACGGAAAACCAAACTACAAGTTTAAAATTTCTCGCAATAACAGACTGGAAGAGACATTGAAAACCGTAGGGTTATGAAAAGGAATATTAAAGGCAATGCCGATACTTTTTACCTTTTACGAGGGTAAGAAAGGGCATAATTGGCAGAATAATACACAGACCAACCTTGGAAGGTATTAAGGAAAACGTCCGATAGCAGAGAGATTAAGCAGACTAGGATGATCCAAAACAACCAAACTGCAGGTTCATCAATAGACAGACCTCCGGATGATAACTAACTTTGTGGAATCTTATCCTAGCGGGATAAATCCGACCAAAATGAACTATAACGACCAAATTACAATTTTTTTTTTCATTTGGTAAAACAGGATAAATACTAAGTGTGACATGGATGAGGTAGCAATTCTCGACTCTAGTCATGATTATTTCGAATCCTAATGCAGTCTGCATTTCCTAAGTTGTTTTAAAGCTTCGTCGTTTATGTAATGCATTCTAGTTCGTTCTTCAGGAAAGAGTTTCCATTCAACAGTCTTTTTCTTATGATCGAGCCATTCATTTCAAGTGGTCGCTCGTTTTTGTAAAATGTAAAAATATGGTAAAATATTATAAATATTAAACTGAGAGGCCCGTTTCACCAACTTGGTTTTAATTAAAGTTTAGAACTGAACAGAGTTAATAAAAATTTCTTTCATTTTTCTTTTTATCTTGAACCAAGTTCAAATGATGAACTTGGTTCAACTTTGAACGGCCGTCAAGTATGGGTTAAACCTATTTTAGAGTTAACCGATATTCATTCCATACTATAACCTGTATGTTGTTAAAAATTGAACTTTTGATAAACAAAATTTGAAAGCGATTTGAATCAGTTTTTGTTACCACGTTTCATAAAAATTTGATCAACTTTTGACATACAAATTATTGAATGTTCTTTCTTATTCTAACACAAAATATAACCAAATTTGTATTATTTTTTCATCTCATAGCGAACCACCCTATATTTAACTTATCGTCCACTAAAATAATGCAAAATTTGTATGTTACAAGTTCGAAATGCGTCTAATTTTTCAGTCTTGTCACTTTCCGTTTAACTTCATGGAATTAAACTGAAAGAATAATCAGATCAATTTAGTATCAACTAAATATCACGTCCATTGTATAAAAGTCAATGAGAAATTCAGCATTTTCAAAAGGAGGGTCAATTCTGATAAACTACCATGATAAAATACTAATTACATATCAGACAAAATATTTCCACCACAGAAAATTCTGCTCGTCAATATAAAACAACATTTCCAATAGAATTTTTACAGAGTGTTTTAGGTAAAGTGTAATCCGTCGAAACAATGGAAATTTTCACAACAAAAAAATTAATTTTATTATAACGTGTTGGGAATTTGGTACACTAAATTTTATTTATGTGTTTTACGTAAGTAACAAAGCTTAAGCATAAAAAAGCTCTTTTTTAATCATTTGCCCTTGAGATTCCAACGCAGTACCCTAACTTGATGAGCCGCAAGCCATGTCAATGCCTTAACCTTTAAAAACAAGGTTTACATAGAACCTTGATCCTTTTTAAAAAGTCATTGAAAAAATTGTAAAAAAATCTATAGATTAGTATTATGGAAAGGAAAAAAGGGCGAGCCCCTTGATGATGATGATGAAAGGAGACTAGGAAGTGGAAGCGTATGTTCCCCAGGGACTGCCTTTCTGTCTTATTGTACCTTCCTAGTTCCCTAGTTCAATAGATTCGATCCTTCATCTAAGAAGACTAAGGTCATTGACTGTTGTTGCTACAATTCCATTCCCTGGGTATTCTTTGTATCACAGGATATTTCTCCGTGTAGTAATTTCATAACATTCGAGATGATATGGGTGACTATTTCTTCCTCCTGGTCATGTTTGTTTTCTCAGATACCAGTGGCCAGTAGTCCTACCACTTTTCTGAGTTTAGCCCTCGTTAACTGTATCAGTGAGTTTACCAGTTTTGCTGAGGGTTGTTTAAGCGTAAGTTTACTGTGACTAGCACCTCTAGAGTTTAGCCACTTTTCCTTTTGTCTTTTTTTGGATCCATTCTGTGATGGAGGAGTCGGTTTCTTTTTATTATCCCAAGAATAGGTTCATGGCCTCTTTTTTACAGATTCTCCTCTGGCCAGTATGTCTGCTTTTTTCGTTACCAAAAATTCCCTATGTCCTGTTACCCAAGATATAAAATTGTTGTGTTCTCAGGTTTTTGAGATTTTTTTTTTTTTTTTTTTTAAACGAGGGTTCGCAACAGCAGAGGTCATATAAACCCTCAGGGTGCCGGTGTTTTTGAAAAAAAGCCCATTTGTAAGTATGTCGGGTTCGAATGCAGGGCCGCTGGATTCGAACCCGGGACCTTTACCTTACAGTGATGAGCGCCGTGTCAACGACTAAACCTTGCGGCCACCGACGCCCCCTAACTTTATTTATTCACTGACTAACTGTGATGTGATTTTTTGCGTGCTAATACTTGAATAGCTACTTGGCTATCCGATCTTATAAGGATTTTTTTGCCAACGTAACTTTTTTTAAGATTTCCCAAGTCACAAGCATTCCTTCGTGTGTTTTGGAGGCATCTACCATATGGCTACCACACCAACGATTGTACCTGATGTTCTTCTGAATTCTTCTTCTCCTTTATAGTCTGGTGAGATTTTATAGGGCGAGTCTCTTGCCAACAATCCATAATGGTTACAACCTAGCTTGCGCCATTACTCTTTATTTACCCTTCAAGGTTTGTCACTGATTTTATTTCATGGATTTTATTTCTTCGCTCAAATGCAACATATAACAATATAAAGATCTTCTCTCCTGTATTGCATTTCAATATTCCCGAAGTCGAACTTTTTGGTATTAACGTTCTTTTATTATTTCAAATTAACCATTTTTTAATTCCAAATTAAACTTCTTCAATTTCAAATTAATCCTTTTTCACTTCAAATCAACTCTTTTTAATTTGAGTTTACTTTCTTATAATTAAATGAACCTTTTATAATAATTTCAAACTAACCGAGTTTAACTGACAATTAACCATGTGTAACATCAAATTAAACTTTTTTAATTTCAAATTAACCTTTTATAATTTCAAACTAACCGTGGTTAACTTTCAAATAATCTTGTGTAACTTCAAATAAAACTTTTTCAATTTCCAATGAACTCTATTTGACTTCAAATTAATTTTTTAAATTTTAAAATAACCGTTGAACTTCAAATGAACCCTTTTTACACTTCAAATTCACCTTTTTTATTTCACATTAACCTTTTATAATTTCCATTGAACTTTGTATAACTTCAAATATCACATTTTTAATTTCAAATTAACCCCTATCTAACTTCAAATTAGTCCTTTTTAATATCAAATTAACCTTTTTTTAACTTCAAATTAACCTTTTGTTAATTTCAAATTAATCCTTTTCAACTTCAAATTAACACTTTTTAATTTTAATTTACGTTTAACCTTATATAAATAAGGTTAATTTTAAATTGAAAAAAGCTAATTTGAAGTTAAAAAATGGTAATTTGAAACTAAAACGTAAATTGAAATTAAAAAGTGTTGATTTGAAGTCGAAAAGATTAATTTGAAATTAACGTTAGATCACTCATTTTTTATTTCAAATTACCCCTTGTTAACTTTAAATTAACCCTTTTCAAAAAAGTCCTTTGTCTAAAGCATTAAAAAACTTAGGTGGTATGAAATGTAATCTATGAAGTAATATAAAATCCCGTGTATTTGTGTGTTTTTTTAATCCCAAATAATTGAACTATTGAAATAATTGACCACTGAATTTAATTACAATTAAAATTTTATAATTAAATATGCAAAAAGGTATTTCTTTCAAATTGATATTTTTTAAACATAAAACGGGTTCTTGTCTAAAATATTACATTAAATGAATAAATACAATAAAAATTAAAAGGCATATAAAAATTTATTTAAAAACAATTTAAATATAAAATATTGGTTTACTAAATGATTATTATTTGTTTTGTTTTTTTAGCAAATCTTGAATCATTAAAACAATAATTTGTTTTTACATGTAATTTTATATAACTTCAGTCAGCTAGGTTTTTCTTTTAATTATATTAAAATATTGCATTCATAATAATCTTTAGTTGACTTGCAGCCAATACGAAATAGAAAAATCGGATAATATCTAAAACACTCTGATACACAGAATACGATGTCATGGAAAAATTGGCAGGGTTTTTTTTTACACTTTATACATCGTAATGAATTACTTATCATCATTATCCATATCATCGACATATTCATATCTTTTCTTTATTCTGCTGTTCCTTCGACTATCTTTTATGAAAGACAACTAAAACTGTCAAAAAATTAAGAATTGAGTCAGCGTGTTTAATAATTGGCCATTTAACTAAAATTTACTTTACCTCATTATTTATGGTGTAGAGGTGTGGAAAAGGTGGTCCAAAGGTTTCGTATCTAAAGCCCTGGTAACTTCTAACTTAATCGCGTCAAGATTTCTCCACCACGAATCATTTCAAATTGACCATACGCATATAGAGTATAGTTTAGAATTATTCTTAAAACTAGTTTTGGTTGGGGATTGTGACTGGGGTTAGTATAGTGCGCAGGTCGGGAGGGCGATCAGGGCAGCTGCCGGAGGAGCAAGTCAGAAGGGCCGCCCAACCAGCCACCGTCTCCTCATCATCAGCGCGTCTTAAGAAGCGACTCAGATCCATCCGCACAACAATTGGTAACGCATTTTTTTCATATTTATACCAATGAATGCTTAATCCATTCCTAATAAGAAAAAATCGTACTCTTAACCAAATCACTGGGTTGAGAAGAAAAATGTATACTTTTGGAATGTTTGTCTAAATAGGCGTTTTTGAACCTCTGTGGCTTAAAGAACTTTGTATATAGATTTTTTTCTTGGATTTTTTTTTATAACGCTATTTCTTTTAGCACATAGATTAACCATTCTGACAATATTGGGTGATCTTGACAGATGAAATAATTACACAATTTTAATAAATTTCTAAGAAACTGCTTCAGTTCAAACAAGTCTGGCCATATGGTAGAAACCAGAACTAAAGTTTGAAACAAGCAAGAGACAATTGTCTCTCAAACAAATCTATTATTACCTATTTCAGTTTATTAATACAATTTAAAAAATGTATAGAAACAGCAAGTACACCTATGTCAGAAAAATCGTACATCCTCAGTAAGAAAAACTTGTTCTTGAGGATCTCCTTACCTGGATTATTCATTGGTATAAAATGATTTCCCTTAAGTGAATTCCAATTAAGAAGCAAGTTGCTTAGACACTTCTGAAACCGTCCACGTACCTATCAAGTTCACTTGATTATAAAAGATAGGAAATTCGGTAATAGAATGGTTTAAACTTTGTTCGAGAACTTATTATTGGGTTGTCCGGAAAATAATGCAGGATTTTGGTATTAAACAAAAAAAAAGAAACTAGTTACTTTAAAGCAATGTTCTTTAATCAAAATAATTTCCCATACTCTCAATACATTTCTCCCAACGTGTTGGTAACTTATTAATTCCGTCTGAGTAGAATTCAGAATTTTTAGAATTGATAAAGTCAATAAATGCATTTTCCAGTTCCGTTTGATTTTTGAATATTATGTGTTGTAAGTAGTGGTCCAGGTGTCTAAAAAAATGGTAGTCAGTAGGCGAGAGGTCCGGAGAGTAGGGTGGGTGAGGCAAAGTTTCATAGCCAAGCTCCAATAATTTTTGTGACGTTACACGTGACACATGTGGTCGAGCGTTGTCATGCAACAAAATGGGCCCTTTCCGATTGACCAAAGAGGGCTTCATTACTACCAATTTCTGATGCATGGTATTAATTTGGTTACAGTATGATTCAGCATTGATGGTTTCGCCAGGATTTAAGAAGCTGTAGTGTATTAAACCAAATGAAGCCCACCATACCGTAACCATTACCTTTTTTTGATGAGTTGGGGGCTTTGGAAAATGTATTGGAGCTTCTCCTTTGTCGAGCCACTGTCCAGAACGTCTAGTGTTATCGTAGAGAATCCACTTTTCGTCACATGTAACAATTCTGGCCAGAAATGGGTCATTTGTGTTTCGACAAAGAAGTGATGCACAAACATCAAAGCGCTGATTTTTTTGGCGATCGTTTAATGAGTGTGGAACCCAATTTTCGAGTTTTTTCACTTTTCCAATCGCCTTGAGGTGGTCAGCGACGGTCGTTTTACTGACTTTGAGTTGCTCTGCAAGTTCTCGAACAGTTGTTTTGGGGTTTTCTTCCACCACTGATCGCAGAACATCATCATTAAGAGAGGAAGGCCTTCCACGACCTTCTTCATCTTCAAGGCTGAAATCTCCCTCCCGAAATTTTTTAAACCACCTTTGCACAGTGCACTCATTAACACAACCCTCGCCCCAGACTTGGTTAATGTTTCTAGCCGTTTGGGCTCCGCTTCGGCCGAGTTTAAACTCGTAAAAGAAAATCGTACGAAATTCTCGCTTTGACATTATAAGGATGACTGAATTATTTCCAAGTAGCGGAATGCTACAGAGGTAAACAAACAATATCATTTGGAAGAGGATTAATAAGTGTTGACATTCATACAAATGAGTAATCCTGTAAACGTAAACAGAATATTTTATATAGATTTTTTTTAATGAAAACTTAAAATCCTGCATTATTTTCCGGACAACCCGATATTTACATGCCTATGAAGAGGTGACAACAATGTTCTACGATACAGCTTGAAGTCCCCGTTGAGGTCGGCTCTGTGTTACACCGACCTTATAACAATTTCACCAAGAACAAATTTCAATAAAAGGTTAATTTAGATAATCGAATTTATAAATGACATGCCTGTCTGATCAAACTTGTCGATTTTTTTTAACCATTTGTAGAAAGCATGATCATACCGAATTTGAATGATTTTAGGGCACGCATGCAAGTGCAGCCGTATTTGTCAACTTTTGATCAGAAATCCAGCAAATTTGTGACCTTTTTGTAGTTATTCTATTCTATTCCTAGTTCTGTTTCTATTCTAGTTCTAGGTTGTAATCTCTTCCTCCCTTATTCAGCCAAATTTAATTTTGGATGTGTGGAGGGAGACTCACTAGTGAGCTAGAAGGTAAGCTAATGAATTGTTTCGTACGTTTTATCTTCGCCTCCCTGAGGATGTCAATTGATCTATACATCAACTTGAACTAACAATACTTGGCTCTTTGCTATATCAAATATCTTCCCATTCCTTTCCTTACCTTCCTCTGTACACTCGAGTTAAACTCGCCCCAGCCTTTCTGACCTATCACCCTAAACACAGAAGTACTGGGTTCAGTCAGTTCCTTCCTCATCCGCGCCTCCATCTTATGGAATTCTCTTCCTCATTCTAACCGCCGAGCCCCCGTCCTTTTCCACCTTTAAGTCAAAAGAACCTCTATGTTATCAGGCTTGAATCTCTGAAAATATGTTGTATTAATAATTAATTATTACGTCATTTAAGTCCAAGAATAAAGTTTATTGTCGATAGCGCTTAAGAGAAATTTCTTGATACATCTAATTTTATACATATAAAAATGAATCAGATTCGCATCGTTGTCCCATGATGAAAGCAGTCAAATTGTAACAACGAATGTTGCACGTGCGATCCTTGGACCGACAAAACGCATAAATGAGTGATTCGTTCATGATAAAATCTCTGTTTCGATCTAACTTTGGTTGTCGTCGAAGTAATGTAAATGTTAAAAGATAAAAGTGCTTTTGTAATATTATTGTAACTCAGCCAGAACGGAGTATTACTTTTCCTTTGTTCGGAAAAAAGATATACTTTCTGCTTGAATCAACGGAAATTTCTAAACAGATTTATACACGGGATGGCTGATGAAATTAAAAAATGTAGATTTGCTCGGCCGCTGGACGTTTACAAAGGCTGGAAAATGTTCATAAAAGGGACAGAAAAACCCGAAATTCTGAATCAACGAGCAGATAGTTTTGGTTAGAATCAGACGCGATGCACTGCTATTCGTGGAGATCACGCTGTACTTACGATCCGTGAAATCCTGCATGTTACAATTAAATACACTCAGTAAAAAAAGTCTCCCAACACCTTCAGTGAAACAGAAGCAATCCTTTTAAATTGAAATAATAATGGACTAAATTGATTAACAACACAATGCCTTGCAACTATAAACTTTAATCAACAACAAAAATCACATAACATGTATACATTTCAAGCAAAAAAGTTTCTGAACATCTTATTTTTCACTTCTTTATTTACTGACACTTATCTAAATTTTATGTCAGTAATCTGTAGACCACCCCTACGTTTTATTACCGCTAATAAACGGTTTTTCATTAATAGAAATAGTTTTTTTGTCACACCCAGGGATCAAACATACGTACCAAAAAGGAATGGGAAAGGAGAAAAGCACCTCCTTTAAGATGGCACCATCTACTGGTACACAGACGGATCTAGAACGCTAGAAGGTAGGGGGGCAGGAGTATTCGGTCATGGAACCAAATATATTCAGAAACCATGGGAAAATACACAAATATCTTCCAAGCTGAGGTCCATGCAATTGAAAAATGTATCCAATTCAATCTGAATAAAGGGTACAAAAACATGAAAAACATACATCATGTCAGATGGCAAGCAGATATCAAAGCGCTAAGTTCAAACACCGTTGGCTCAGGGATGGTTCTGAATCGCAAAACCAAACTACTATTTAGGTATGCAGACAAAACGAAGTCAGCCTCTGCTGGATCCCAGGACGTGTTGGAGTAGAAGGCCATGAGAAAGCAGATGCTCTTGCAAGGCTGCTATACCGAGCCCTTCTGTGGCATAGAAATGCATACTATCATTACAATCAGCACCTCAAACAGAAGGATAAAAAGAAAATTAAGGAACACTAGAACTCACTCATTAGACACAAACAATCCAAGAACCTCGTAATAAACTTTGGAAGGAAGAGGTAACAGATTATATTAAAGGAAGCAGGAAAAAGCTGCGATCCTAACAGGATTCTTAACAGGACAATGCAAACTAAACGGACATCTGAAGAAGATTGACATAACCCACATAGCACGTGCAGATTTTTGCAAAGAAGCAGAGGCGAGACCAATACACCTACTACCAAAACTGTGGTGCTACATTTGCCCTTGTTCTGGGGCATACAGCGTAACTATAGAAGAGATTCAACCACTTAAACCGGGCCTACTAATCAAGTTTATTGTTGATCTAGTTCTCACCGGTGTGCTTTAAGCATAGAACGGGGGATACAGTAGCTCTAAATGGCGCAGTACACACTCCGACTAATGCATCTATCTACGTCCGGGGATGTATTAATCCAATCCTGTAAAAATCTCTTATTTACCTAGTTTCCTAAACTGCCTTCCAATATGATCCCACAAATGCTTGATAGGGGGATAAATTGGGTTGTTCTCTATGCCTAGGCGCATTATATAGCAGTCATTCTTGAGTTTTGCTTGATGTATACGTTTGGTCCTTGATCCCATCGATTATGTGTAAACTGCCAACTCCTCTAAAGCCCATGCAACAAGCACCCCACTGCCCCCATGTTTAACCATCGTTTATTCATTAATTGTAAGTGTTCCCATGGTTTACGCCATACTTTCTTTCTTCCATCGGACCCTGAGAAGTAAATTCGTTCTCATGGGTGAAAATAGCAGACTCCCAAAATGCAGCAGCCTTACTTACATGCTCTTTAGCAAACTGGAGACGCTTT